GAAGAAGCACTGTACATCGGCTGGCCATTGGCCACTATACCACCGCATTTATAGGCCATATATGCATTCAAAAGCAAAACCTTACGAATCTGAATGAAGGTTGGATACAGGGCCCATCCCGAATAGACACAAACGCCAAGAAACTTTCATACTTGGTTGTTTCCCCTTTTAACGCATTGTATACATACTGTCATTAGGCCAGGCCTATTCGAAAGAAACTTGGAGAAAGAACTAAATTTGTTTGTCACTTTATGGTGCCAAATAAGGAAGTTACTCGACAGCATGATTAGCCAGAAATGGTATCCATGCTTGACAAAATATTGCACCCCAAAAAGAAGTTAAACCATCCGTCCCCGTAGGCTCAGTAAGCGACTCCCCTGTACCTGCAATCAACACACTCAGGAACTGACAGCTACTCAACCAATAGCCATCTTGGTAAGGCTTCGCTGTCGCTTGGCTATTTTCAAGAAAAAATTCGAGTTTCTGTAACAAAAAAAATACATCGGTCTACATTTCCCTAAAAAATTGCCGGAACTGTAGCCCTATTCTTCTGAGGGCTGAGTTCACGTATTTAATGACACCCGGAAAACAAACCTATTATTGTTAAGTAAGTAATAAAATGGTCAATCTAGTCGTTTCTAGGAATGGAATGAGAACAATAAATGGAGGTCGTCATGTTTGTCAACGAGTTTACATCGGTACTAAATGTATGACTCCACTACTGCTCAACTCTTGGAGGTTCAGGATCACTTGTTCCAAGGAGCACATCAATAAATCCACCAATTCGCCTTTTCTGCAACCTGAAGAGGCTGTGAGTCCAAGGGAAGAACATGAGACATGTCAATGGCTACCTACTGTTTTCCCATTACTAATTAGCCTACGGCTATTTCACTGAGCACCAACATACCTGACGGAATACCTCTGCCGTAATTTCTGTTTATGAGAATAGGCTACTGCCTTCATATCGGCGGAAATTAACGCCTTAGCACGCAGGGTATGATTTTCATGGGTAAAAACACCTGAAAATCGCATCCCCTGGCTTATGAGATCACTTCCGACAAGATTGTAACTTTCAAGTTTTTCGTCTCTCACTTCGACAGTTACGGACGCAATCCCTGTAGAACTGGAAATCACCTTGAAAAACGGTCTCGTCAAGTTCAGCAGAATTGAACTCCGCTCAGAATTTGCTGAGCCCCTACATGATGGAGGACTTGAAGGGAGGTCTAGGAGGGAAGTCGATGAATAGGACTGAAAGGCTCTCCTACCACAAGCGCAGTACCTCAGATACTATGTAGATAAACCAACTAACCGAATATTCCATCTTTCCTGCTCAGATCTTCTTACAAACAAAAGCAAACGAGCTATGCAACCTTGTTTGAAAAGAGTCAGCAACTGATTGCAGTTTGTTTCACTATTTCGATAAAGACTCATTCCATTCACAACGGCAACCTGCCTCCCTGTTTTTCACCTGAATCGCTCATTTTCATCTGCATCAGTTTGTTTTTCTGTATAAACATTTTAACTGCGTGTTCGCTTGTCGTTTACTGTCGATACTTCCGTGATTATTTTTCAAAAAAGTTGGTTTGAGGAGATTTCATGGCAGTACTTCTACCTGAAAGTGTTCATGGAAATGAGACAATTCGAATCAATTTCGAAATCGAGTTCACTCAATATACGTACTTTCTGGTCTTATATATTCTCTACGGTGTCCCAAGCTTATTTGTGACTGCGAAAATCGTTCGTGCTATTATTGATCCCGCCTTCAAGAACTTCTTCAGAACACCATTTTTCGTGTTATTCACCCACGACTGTATAATGGTGAGTGGAAATTATGAATGAATTTCAGCTAATGACATGACACTAGTTTTGGCGAATATGTGCCTGGTTGATGGCACATTGAGGTGAAGGTGTTAAGGTGGTGAATGGTGCTCTATCTCACACGCATATTACGGGATCCAATCCCCTGTAGAATACGCCCAGTCCATCCAAGACCTCTACTGTTTTAGCTACTTGGTTCCAGACTTCTCTGGGAGAACAAAAGTACTGATTTGAACACCTTCTGGGTACTGCAAGTCATTGTATAGGCCATATACGCATTGGAAACGCAATTAACCACAAGTATCGGAAGTCCGGTGAGGAAAGACATCTCAAACGACACCAAAGACTATCCTTTCTTCCTTCATGTGTCTTCTTTAACACATTTCCGGTTGTGTAGCTTATGAAGTCGCTCTGACATCCGCTGAGCAAATGTTCCTTCCCCGAGGACACTGTTCTCGGTCCCTCAGTGGTTTTTGTGGCATCTCATGAGCCATATGCTGCCAATTACCATAAATTGTAGGGCCTAGAATACAGATAGTCATTACGATCTTACTAAGTATTCCAGAATGCTATCTTCTTTGTTTACGACATCTTTGCTGTGAGGGTTCCTTTATCGGGTCTTATTACTGACTGGATAACTACACTACCAGTTGGTCCGTACATCAACGCCATTTACGTGCTTTCGTATTATTCAATGTACATGACATTTTATTCGGCAGTTTCTCTTTCATTGGCAAGAACTGTGATCATATGCTTACCGATGAGAGGTAATGAGGTAAGAGCTCTCTTCGTTTTTTGAAGGTTTTTTCTACTTAGCAAATCTATTGTACTTCTTGCTAGACATTTTGCCCACACAATGCACTAATCCCTTGCATACCAGATTGAATAGGCTATATGTAGCTTTCTTACAGGGATAAGTGCTTTGCATATGATTTGTTCAGCTATAATTACTCCCTTGTAGAATGGTGAAATCCTGGTCGTGAAGTTATGTAGAGCTCACGAAGCATCCTTATACATTCAGTGCCCGAGGCTTCGATCAGCGCTTCTTTCTCAACGGTGTCCAAGGCTTTCTTCAAATCGATGAACGTCAAACATAACTGCATTTTGTACTCTCGTGATACTACAATGAGTCTTGTGGATATGATCGACTGTACTGAACTCTCTACGAAATCCTGCTTGCTCGCATGGTTGTCCTTCATCTAATATTCTGCCAATCCTGTTCAAGATGGCACAAGTGAAAAGCTTGTATATTACAGACAGCAGGCAGATCGGGCGATGCTTGCCAATATCGTCTAGATCTTCCTTTTTATACAGCAACACAGTCTTGCTAGTTTTCCCACGACGTAGGCACTCTACATTCCGACAGGTACCGCGTGAAGAGTCTTCAGATGTTGTGGTTTGACCCTGTCGGGACCGGGCGCCGTACAGTTCCTCATCGACGTGATGGCATGTCGTATTTCGGAAGGGAGAACCGAAGGAGCGATATATTTTTCTTGAATAAGATGGTGGGTAGGCAGGTAGACGTGGCTGTCGAAGAGATCTGAGTAGAAGTCGTAGATGACTTACTTCATTGCCTTTCAAGATGCAGTAACTGTTCCGTCAAGACGGTGAAGGGAAGTTATCTTGGTCGTGTAATTGGCGAAGCTCCGTTGGGCTTTGCGAATGCTCTTTCCGGCCTCGGCGGCTTCGTCCATGACTGCTGCTCTTCTCTCTTTCAGATCTTCCTTTATCGCTTCTCTGCATAGCTTCGCAACTTCGGACGTTTGTTGGTGATTGCCTGTAGCTCGTGGCGATTCCATGCTGGCGTATCAGCTCGTGAGTCTT